GCATTTTAATGACACTGATGGTGATTTTTTCATGCATTTGGATAAGGTGGGGATTTTTTTTCTCTCTTTGTACCATGGTCATTCCAATATACTGTGGTGTGGGCATGTGAATGACTGATTGATTTGCAGGATTCTCTAATAAGGAAGAAGACTTTCCCAATATTACTTTGCTGCTGCTTAAGCTGCTCTGTTCATGCAGGCCATCAATAGAATGTCCATGAGATATCTTCATTCTTCTCTCTTTATTTTATAAGCAACGTACTCCAGTGACCTATGAACTTCTCTGTTGGAAGTCCCTGATCCCTCTTCAATACCACTAAAATGGTGTCTCCTACTGGAAAGCACTAGGAGATGGTAAGTCAATGACTTTCAGCATTTCCTATAGGAAGATTTTTCAGATTTCAAATGAGGATTGGTGAACAAACACTTCTCATTTAGCGACAATATTTTTTTTTTCTGGATACACTTAGAGAACAAATTATGGACTGTAGCAATGACTGTCTCCTCTACATTTTATACCTGCACAACCCCCACGGTGACTTTAGTGATGGTGGGGGAAGAAGCACAAGTGTGGCTCTTCAGAGTGAGTTTTCTTCTTATTTCACAGAGGGTCCAAGATGCCAAGTGCTGCCTCAGGAGAGCAAAGCCCTTTACAGAGGCAGCAGATGCAGTTCAGCATTGCTCATTCTGTTGTGCTTCAACTCTGACCACGGAAGCGCGAGCTCTTGGGACAGAAAGTGCTCTGTTTACACTCAGACCTTGGCATTTTTCCTAAGGGTACCAATTATAATGGTGTTTTCTGTGATATGGGCACACATCCATTATGAATTGGCTTGCACCCACCAACTCATTTTGTACAGGCCATGGAACATCCATCAGATGGCAACGAATCCCATTCGTGTGCAATGTTAAGGAAATCTAGATCATTACCAGCAGAATAATGAATTCCCTAGAATTGTTCCATTGTGCAATTATATGAAGTATGCTAAGAGAAAGGGCACTTTCTCAATAAAGTGCTCCTTTTTATTTTCCTAAACCACAGAAATGATAGATTATTAATCATGATTAATGCTCAGTTACAGTGAATTATAGCGGAGCAGTGCCTGGAAATCCCAGTCTGCTTGGTAAACTCATTTTCTTGCATAATAGGAAACTTACCTTGCATTTAAGAGAACCCAAACAGATGAAATGGAACCACCCATTTCATATAATTAAAAGAAAAATTTAATAGATACATACATTCTTAGTCTGACACTCTTGAACTTTCTTTGGTACTGTACAAGCAAAATTGGAGAAATACAATTGCAAACATCTTAATTGTTCCCATATTTTGCTTTCTTCCTGAGAACCAAAGTCTTCTAGAGCTCAGCTGTAGCACTCAGCCTGAATCCCTAAGCAGCACTGGAATTAAGGCAGAGTTGTGAATTTTCTGGACATTTGGAAGATGTTTGTTGTTCTAGTTGATGATTTCTTGAGAGAATATGAATGATCAAAGTGCTTTAGGAAGCTGAGGAAAGTCAAATGAGATAATGGAATATATTTCATCCTATATTTGGGGATGTACATGGGATAATTTTTGCCAGCCCTACATATAGGGGACTCATTGTACATGGAGAGTAAGGCACCAGAACGACATTATGGAAGTGCTTGTGGTCAGTCAGAGAACTTAATATCCTTTGAGATAACTGAACTTTAGATTTTTGGAAGCCCCCAGAGGCTTTTCCAATACTATCAAACATCAGTTCCCCTACAGTTTACATCCTAATCCGTATTGTGTTCTGAGAACAGAGTGAAAGGAGGTGAAAAGACATTTTTGTCTCAAGGATGAGACTGCTGGGTCATTTCCAAGAGGAGATCCTTAGAGAGCATCCCATGGTCCTTTCCTGTGGAAGGTAGCAGTGCAGCTCTCCGTTATTCTCTCTGTCTCTCTCTTCCCCCAGGCAATCTGTCAGTGCATTTCTGGTGCTGGGGAGAGGCGTCGTGTCGGAGCGCTGTTCCCGATTGCAAAACGGGAACTTCTATTTGTTGTTCTCAGGAGCTGGTTCCACGCGCTGACATCTCCCCGGGAGCACAGCTGAGTCCAACATGTTCCCAGCAGCCATCCACCCAAACGCCTCCTACTCCAGCACCCAGACCTTCCTTCCCAGTAAATAAAAAACACAGAGCCAGCCTTGAATTGTTCCAAGTGCTTCGGCTTCACTGGAATGTCTGCCCATGTTCAGATCTGATAAATGGGTGTTTTTCTGCACCAGAAGTCAGTTTAGTGTGGGAATAGGATGGCTTTTCAAAGAGTTTCTGGAATAGTTAATGGGAAAGTCTGACTGACTTTCTCTGGTGTCAATATGTTTAAGTGTTCCTACGTGTCATGAAAGTACAATATCGCAATTACCAGCTTTAAGACAGAAAACAAAGTTATCATAAGCTGCTGATTTTATTGTGTTGTATGAAAAAACATGTTTTTTCAAGGTTTCATTGCTCAAAAAGGTCTCAAAAAATCTTCTTCCTTAAAGCAGGAAACTGAGCAGTGTGCCTATGTACACTTCAGGCAAGGAGATATTGCTGCATTATTTAAAACACTACCAACAGCAGCTCTCAATATATCCCAGTGTGATTCCCATCATATTGCTGGGACATCCTGTCTAATCATGGCTATGGTAATTCTGTCTTTAACCTTATCTGTGCCCTGTAGTAGCCATGACCTCAGTATGCCAACCTATGGATTACAAAACCAAAAAAAAAAAACCCAAAACGTTTGAATAATGATTTCTAGGAAAAAAGTTGGAAAAAATTCCACATTTGTCCCAAAAGCCCCCAGTCCAGTTCCACAGCTGAATGAGACTTCACTTGCCATGAGTTACACTGGCGAGGTCAATGTGTTTTTTCTTGCAGACTCAGAACTGGAACAAGACATCCTGGCTTGAAAGGGAAAGTCCTCAATTCTGATTCCCTCAGTGACAACATTTTGGCGTATGCCACCCTCTGGTTTCCCCTCTTGGGCTCCGTCCAGCCATTGCACATGAAATCCCCCATTTTGGAGACTGGCATCAAGAGCAAGGACTGCCAAGGTATATCTTTATTGGTGCTTCTCTAGGAAATGGTATGTGGAACAAACTTCCCTCTTTTCTGACTCCTAAATGCCTTGGGTCAGAGTTTTTATTCATAAATACCCACATGCTGCTTTGTCAAGGACAGCCTGTGGTACAAAGGATAGAATGATCCAAGCCTCTGTGGCCTGGTATGTAGAAGTGAGAGTTTAGCTTAACTTTGGAAGATTTAAGATGAAAATTCTGTGTGAGAATGCAAATTGAAGCATTAAAACTCAGCATTGCCCATCCTGGGGTGGGTCACCCAAACCAGTGCCTCCTGGATGGCAGTGGGTTGTGCTGTGGGGTCTGGGTCCAGACCCAGCCAGCAGGCTGGGACTGATGTGGTGATGAAGGACTAATTAGATCCTTTAGGCGACTCCAGCTCACAATGGGGCAATGTAAGATAAGGAAATCTCTTCTATTCCCCACCAATGTCCTGGAAGGAGCAGAGAAATGAGGTGTTCTGGGCTGCTCGCTGCATTGCTGAGGTTTGTTGTCTTCTGGTCACCAGGCTTTGTAAGACACCTGGAAAAAGGTTGTTGGTGGTTCTGCTTCTGGCTTTCTGGTTTTTTTTTTTTTTTTGAAAGCATGAGTTTTCCAGAAGGGGGATAAGGAAAGGATATACACATGATTTTTTTCCCCCATTGAATGTTTGTGCACCAGGACTACTCTGATTAATAAACAAGCAGCTTCAATGGTTTAAGAAAGGCTTAATATTCCAGCATCTTACCCAGGATCCTTGTTTGGGATTCCACAGGCATTTCTGCACTGAGATCAGTGGGGTTTTTGGGAGAAATTTTAGTGCTTATACATAGCAAACACTGACTTTGGTGTTAGTCTATAAATGTCTAATGTGAGCAAGCAATTCTGTATTTTCCTCTGTGCTCAATACCTGTGTTCTGCACCCTCAGGCAGCTGAATTTACATGCTTTTGTTGTCATATGTGTAATGTGCAACATGCATTTCCTTTTTATTAATCAAACCTGCCATCAGAAAAGAGATAGAAGGAATTTGAAAGCACAACCAGGATGGATACTGTCATTCTGTAATCTTTTGTGCACAGGTGGAGATGCCTGTTTGCACTGGAATAGGTGGGAATATTCTGTTTCTTGCAAAAGTCTTACAAATGAAAATCAAGCAAAGGAGTTACGGCTATCTATGGGGTAATTCTCCTCTGGAAGTGTGCAGTCAATTCCCATTTAGGCTAATTACACTTGAGAAGCCCTTTCCTATAACTAATGAACAATAGGCATAACATGTTGTTACATAACCATGGGCCAGCACATTAATACACTGTCGAATTGCAGTACCCTGTGAAAATGCTTCCTCAACGAAATTCACTGGAGATTTTCAGTGACATTTGCTGTAATTACCACTAGTATGGTTTCTAATTCATTTAATTTTTTTTTCTACCTATACTGGGCATATAAGAGTGTTTTAAGAGATTGAATAAATAAATTTTTAATTATAAAATGATGCTGTATCATAAATTATTAATAATAACCAACAATGTGTAATACATGTTTAGGTATGAATCCATTAGGAAGATGAACTAATATATATATCAGTCCTAAAATAATGTCCTAATTTGTTCTGTGTTTATGAATGGTGAAATCAGTGTTTAAAGCAATTAAAGGTTTATAAAAGCTTGGATTGACAGTGGGTAAAGCAGCGAGCACACTTGGCACTTAGGAATTCTGTTGTCATCTATGGCAGAGAAGACCCCTTTTTGTCCTTTATTGGTTTCAGCAGTTTGTGATATCATGCCAACACAGAGACCTCCAGGGAGGGAGCAACAAGATGCACATAGTCCTCATTGACAAAACCTCTGGTTATGATTAATATTCAGGAAAAAAAAAATCTCCTTTGTAATCTGTCAGGTAGTTTTGAGGAACTTTGTCAATTTTTTTCCTATCAGCGATAGCAGACTTCTGAGATCTCCATGGCCAGCTCCAGGCACTCCCCGGTCTCGTGGCAGGACTCAAAGAGGCTGCAATCAATGTCACAGTCACAGTTGCAGTCGTTGTTGCCGTGGTCTTCGTCGGAGGTCTGGTAATATCTATTGGATGGACAACAGGTATCTGTCAGCCAATGTTCACAGGTATCAGGCAGCATTATAAGAAAGTCCCAAAACTGGCAGAACAAGCAGGCCAGGATAAGTGTGGCGCATTCATCTAAGAGAAAGGAAAAGCAGGGAGATGTAAGAACAACTGTGAGATGGGATTGCCCGGGTTTAGGCCAGAAGTGAGGGGGTGGGCTAAAAACACATTGATGATAACTACTTCCATAGAGACAAGTGAAAAGTTTCTTTTCTATTTTAATTGCTCTGGAAAAACAACATCTGTATGAAAAGAATTTGAATGGAAATATTCTGTGGCAGTGAAATGCAGAAGAACAAGCTCTTTAAACCAAATTTTATCTTCTCATGCCCAGACAGCAAGGAGGCTGAAGAGGCACAAGAAGCTGGGAGGGGACACAGCCAGGACAGCTGACCCCAGCTGGCTAGAAGGATAGTCCAGACCATATAGCATCAATATAAATTAGGCAGAAAACAAGCAGGGGTTTCTGCTCAGATAACCGACTAGGCATCAGTTGGTGAGTGGTGAGCAATTGCAATGTAAATACCTTGTTTTGTATATTCTAATTTTTTATTTATATATAATATATATATATTTTTTCTTCCTCCCGTGTAAAACCACTACATTGTCCCATTACACTGTATTTATGTAATCTCATGAGTTTTCTTCCTTTTACCCTTCTGTTACCCCCATTCTGCAGTGGGGCAGTGAGTGAGGTGTTCTGTGGGGCTGAGGAAACCATGACACCAGCACAGGTGACACTGGAGTTTATTTTCATTTTCACAAGAGTTTGCTCTAAAAATGTTTAAAGACTGCCAAGGACAGGGAGGGAGAGCAGGCCTGGAGAAGAGCATTCAGAGAGGGCAGTGTGGCTCAGCTCAGGGTCCTCCCAACTCCCCACCAAACAGGGTTCTCACCTTTTTGTTCACAAATGTCAGTTTTTCAAAGGAGACAAAAGTTTGGAAAATAGATTATGTAGGATGCGTGTCTGGAGCCAGTGAATATTCTTGAAAACTTGGTCACCATGACTAAAGCTCTGTGCTATGTTTGTGCCCTCCCAAAATCAACTAATTAACTCCAGCCTCCAGCATCTGGGGAGGCTGCTTGGGTGCAGCAGGTGTGAGATTCCAACTGTGTGAATCCACTTGGAGCACAGACCCAGACCTTTCCTTTTTTTTTTTTTTTTTTTTGTTCCTTCTTGTTTTTGGAAAGGAAAAATGCCTTCAACAATATGAATGTCTTTTCATTGCTTCTTTCAGGAAAGCATATGGTTATAACCACATTTCTTGCCCTAGGATGACTAACTGTGAACTCATTCAACTGCATTGGTTCTGTTGTGGCATTTTCTAGCTCACGTAACATGAAGTTCACTGCCAGGAAGTTTCCAGAATTATGCTATTTTTTTTAGAAAGCTTTCTTGATGAAAAAACAAAATTTAAAAAAAAAATCATTCCAGCTTCTTTATTAAAAAGACAAGGTAGCAAGAACAAATAGCATATGACTGAACTTCTTTCTAAATGGCATATCATCACCAATGTTATCAATTTTAATACTTATTTAAATATGTCAAGATCTATTTAGGTTCAGACAAGCACAACTAACTTCTAAGTCAGTTCTGTCAAATAAGAATGACTAGATTTTGGTAATACTCAGTAAGTTCATGCTTATATTTTTTCCTAGCTAAATGAACTGAAATAATTATAAAATTGAAACAGTTAATAAGGTGACACCACTGTATTTAATTGTATGAAATTTACACTGTAGAAAATGTAATCATTTTATCCAGTAGTTCTTGCTGTAATTAAGACTATTCTTTTTAGATCTCTTATGTTTATGAAATTTCTTTCCTATACATAGATGTGAGAGACAGAATTCAAAGTTATGTCTCAATTAAGGATTTGGCGATTTTTTTCTCCCTCTCCAAAGATCCATTTTTTAATAACAGTTTTTTTCCCCTGAATATGTTAACCATAATGGTGCTTATGTAATCTGGAGAGAATAGATATGATTCTTAGGGCTTCATCCAGGAAAGAGAGCACACAAAAAGCACAAGATTTTAATAATAAAGTAATGTTTCAGCACAGACTCTGTGATGTGCAGTAAAGATGCTTTTAAATTCCCATCAGAGCACACACCATGAACTGTGATAATGGATGTAACACATTTCAAAAAATCTGCATGTGTGAGGCTTTTTGGTCCTGTTTTAAGTGGGGTAATGTATATAAATAATAGATATTAGCAATTAGACATCCATTCCTATGCATTCATTTATATATTTGAAAATAAATTAGCCACAAACTGCATAAAAGAAGATGCAATCTCTTGTTTTCCCCTCTGTTTTCCCTGCTGTTTGCCAAACGGCTTTACTGCGTTTATCTCAGTGAGAACAGTGACCTCAGCTCTCCTTCTCTACATTACTAGATTAATTAGCACAAAAGAAGAATTTATAATAATTTTTCTAGCATGCCTCATCTCTAAGTTTTCCTTCTCTTGTTTGGTGGCATCTGCTCACACAGATGATGCTCTGAACAACCCTGGTCCAAAGATTGCTGAAGCCTTTCTGGTCATCCTTGGTGAGACCTATGAGTGTTGTATTTGCTCTTGTCTGAGCCCTGGGAACAAAATAGTCACCAATTTCCTCATCTATTGCTCTGCCTTCAGAGGTTCTCTGAGCAAACAGGATTTGGCCTTGTGTATGTGGAATAAGCAGTAAGTTGTCAGAGTGGAGTGAGCTGAGTATGCAATGACAACCACAAATCTGTCTTCCTTTGGTTTTCTTGGCTTCTATCCAGCCCTTAACATTATTAATTAAGCACAGATTGGGTTTTTTTGTTGTTGTTGTTAATTTCCTTCACATTTAGCTTTTTTAAGGAGAATGAAATCTGTTATTTGCATCATATGGTACACACCTGTGTGCCAGTAGTGGTTGTGAGAGACCTCAAACTTAAAAATAGGAAGTGTCAGGACAAGAGGACAAGTTCCCTAAATAAAATAAATACTTCAGATCCTTCTCTGAAATTAAGCATATTCCAATAGATGTATCATAGACATCCCTTTTTAAGGATCTGTGACACAATAGAGATGTTAATGATTCTTGGAGAACAGGGCACTTTATTGTGTTGATCTCTATTTAGATATGCTTAATTTAGGAATTGTCAAATGATATGCACGACAGATCCCAGCTCCATTGGATATAACACACTAATCCATTATTGCAAAAGGCACTCAAAAGAAACTTCTGAAATACTTCACAGAGCCTTTTTTTAACATCCACTGGAATTACCAGGAATAGATTTATCTGATACTGACACTGGTGCCTCTGTGCAAACTCTCATTGCTAAAGTACAAATGCTCTGTGGCACAATAAGCTCTAAGCTCCTCTTCTATGACTTTAGTATCACTGACAATTTAAGATCATCTTCTAGAAATTCTCATCTATCACACAAATGTCTGCAGGGCAACTTAACATTGCTTTTGGCGATGTTCTTGAACCTCCTGTTCAACATTTAATTTCGAGTTGGTTATACATAGTTCTTTTGCAGTGGGCATTATTTAGAAATCAGCTCAAATGTGATCTGTTTTATAAAACATACCGTCACTGTCTCTCTGATGTACTGATGCATCATCTTCAATGTAAGAGAATTCTCTGCATTTCTCCAGGGAAGCAATGGATGATCTGCTTGCATCTGACAATTTCTTCTCATTTTTGGTACCCTTTGATGAAGTGTCTGTGATGCTGAATTCTGCGACAGAACTCATAACAATACCTTTCATAGGCTTTTCATCTGTGTGTTTTTCATTTGTAAGCTGGTTATCTGGTGGGATTAGGAAAAAAAAGACTGTGATACCAAGGCAGAGATCTGAGAGAATAACATATGCAGAATTTTCAAACCTACAGTTGTTTACTTCCAAGGCCTAACCCTTCTCACCTAATGATTTCAGTCTCTTTACAGGGGTTTATTCATAGTAAAGGTATTTGTGAACTTGCCTTCTAAGGTTTTCTCTTAAACCCAGAGGACTTAGAGGCAAGTAATAATTCACTTCCAGTGGGTGGGATCAGGTTTGGAAAGAAAACAGAACTATTGCCTCAGTTGACATCTATTTAGACTTTGATATCCTAACTTCAGTTTGTGACATAAAAGAAGGCAAAACAATTATCTTGTTATTTTTCAGCTGCATCTTTGTTTCCCTAAATTAACAGCCAACAATGTGCACGTGGGCGGTACCTGGATGCAGATGTGCCAGCTCACCGTGGTTTATAATCCTGTAGCAAAGACAGCCAGATGGTCTCTGTTTAGCATCCAGATTCCTTATTTCATAACTTCATCCCCACTTGCGTTGTTGGCCTGGAAGTCAACTAGGAGATGGGATACTTCTCATGCTGTCAGCGTGCCAGAGAGGCAGCTCAAAAACCAGAGGGAGAGCTTAATTTTAAGCCCCAACTAGGGGAAAGGTTAAGAAGAGTTCTGAGTTCAATTTATTCTTGAAGAACTCCTCAGGCACAGATAAACATGGGTTGATATATAGTTTCACTCGATCTCTGAAGTGATCAAGTGGCCAAGAAACACAGTCATTCTCTCCATGGCGGGGATGATAATACCTCATCAGTTCTTATCTACAGCTGATTAACTCCTGCACCTCACATCAAGCACAGCCTCACTTTTTATCTCACTTAAATCTTGTGATATGCTTGCTCTTGAGCTATATACAGAAAATCAATCTTTACAAACACCTCAGTTGTGCAAATGCTACTTTCTAAGAAGAACAGTAAGTGGTCTGAAGTGGTTCAACTGCACTTGCCTGCAAGGAGTCTGAAGAGAGGCCCTGCATATCTCTTGGTTTTTATGTACCTTTGACTTCTGACCCATGTTAAGGAAAAGCCAAGGAAAGGCTGACAGAGAGTGAAACCTTGATGAGACTGCAGCTGTTCCCCCAGTATCCTTGCAGAGAGAGGAGGAAATGTGGATGGGATGGATGGATTGCAGGGTGAGTGAAAAACCAGTGCAACCATAAGGCTTGAAGAGGGGAAGCAAGGATTTGAGAGATAAGTAGAATTGTTTTGTGAGTCCAAAAGACACAAGCCCTACCTGTTAGCCAATATCACAAATGGGTCCTGTTTGTTCACACTGAGAGCTACACCCAGGCTGAGCCTTTGGATACACACAGAGCAGATCAAAAGGCTTAGGCAAGAATAACTATTATTTTCCACTTTCAAAATCTGCCCAAAAATGTAAACTAGGTATGTTTTAATTCATGGTGTATTTGTTGAGTTCCCCAATTCTGCAGCAATACAATGGCCCACAGAATGCATTTAAGCATTCAAGAAGCGAGACTGAAAAAAAAGTCTGACAGAAGTAATCAGTAAATGCCAGACTGACATTTACTGTATCCACTGACTTCTACTATTCATACTTGGAGTCAATTTTTATTCTTGAAGTGCTGTTGAAGAGAAATCAAAACCAGAAATAGAAAGGCATAGACATAACCTGAATTTTTCAATACAGCACCATCAAACAAAAGGGTAACAAAAGCTGTCACTCAGGGACTCTTCTGTTTGTTAAAGCATACTACATCTTGGAAAATACAGTACATTTTAGTGTCAGACTCTTAGTTTGAAAAGCTCCCTTTCAGTAATGTTATACTTGTCTTGTACAGCTAGATCAAGTCTTCACGCAATCACTGTAACAAGCAACTTGCTATGACAAGCGAGATCCTTGCTTCCAGAAAACACTGCAGGAGAGGCTAAAGCATTGTACAATTATAGGTCTCCATTTCATTTTTATGCAATTACCTTCAGTTCAGCTGTGGGTCCATCTACGTTATGTCTTTTATCAATTTAATGTTTGCACAAAGTGTCTGAAGAAATAAAGATTGTGCTAGACCAGCAGAAAAAAAAAAGGTGGTTAGCACTTTTTTTTTTTCCTATTATAGTTTTTGGTGGATGGAACAGTAGTAGGTTGAGAGTTTGGAACAAATAGATGTCGCCAAATAGGCTTTAAAAATACATTATATACCACTCATAGTATTTATGATTACTGTTAAATGAGAATATAAAAAATCCCAAATTACAATTAGAAATGGGATGAGGGTCAAACTTTGCAACTCTCTTTCAAGAGCCTGTGTTCAGCCTACGATGTCCACATATGTCTGTGTTTTTAACATATAGAAATCAACCGCTGAAGTGAACTTATAGGGAAAAATAAGTGTATCATGATGAAGAAATCTCAGATTATTCAGTGTTAGACTGTTAGGCAGAGGCTGCTAAAGGTACACCCCCACAATGTGCCATTTTTAAATAGTATGAAGTGGCAACTTTCTTCCTCACATGGGGAAGCTGGGACTCGCCTTGGCTGTTGCAGTAGAAGACTGGGATTGTTCACCCATGTTTGTATTAAAGATAGTCTCAATACTCACATGGAATTTCTTTTTTCTTTTTGGAGTTGGGCAATTCACATGGCTGACTACAAGTGTCTAAATTCATGAAAGCACAAAGTAAATCACTTACTTTCCACTGATGCCAGCCCCAGATCCCTCTGGTTAATGGGGAGGAGCAGTGATACCAAGACTGGCATTTGCAGTATGTCCCCTGACCTCTATTTCTCTTCACTGGCTTTAGGCACAAACCAGCATCTTGCAGCCCTGGAGAAGAGGAGTCTGCAGTTTCCCTGCATGCTTCTGAAATTAGATTTAGTATAGAGGTGTACAAGGGCTCTAAGTCTATTTTTGATAAGGGACAGAGGGTTTAAGAGATGCTGTGTTCTGCTAAACAGGGACTGCAGCAATGCAGGTAATCCAAAGCAGCTCTTGGAGCAGCTGTTTAGGAGGAGACTCCACTGAAGGAGAAGGGGAATTGATCTCTGACCCTCCTAGGGCTCATCCACATCTTACAAGCAAAGGATAAGGGAGCCTGTGGCTCTACTCAATGCTGGCATTTATTCCAGATCCATCCTGGCAGTGGCCCTTTGTCTCACACCCCTGTATCAAGGAGTCCCAAGGGTTAATGCTAAACTGCATGGAAAACTGTAGCAGTTTAGGACCTGTAACTTTTTAATTTTCCCCTGAGGCATGTTGGTGTATGAGTGCAGCATTCATTATCCCGTGCCCTGCTGTCGCTACCTGTCTGTTTAATGTAGCACATGCTCATCACTGGAAGAGCTGTGTGCCATGTCCATTCTGCCCCCAGATGACACAGGCAGAGCTGCATCTGACCTGATGGATGAAAACTTGTACGTATGAAGGCTTGATCTGAGCACACTTGGTTCTCATAGAACCATGGAACCCAAACCTCAGGGTTTGACAGCAGTCCTTCAAAAAGGCAAAAGCCAAAGAAAAACAAAACACTTTTTCTTGATCATTTAAGGGATATAATGGTCTGCCAGGGAGGGAGTATCTCTGCATGCATGGGGACATCAGCTTACCTGGATGGTCCTCACTGCTCGATGTCACTCCAGGGAGGGCCAGTAGAGGAAGGGAGCTGGTGCGACGGTCTTGGTGGAGAGAAGAAAACAAAATTGAAGAGGGATAAGTGTCAAATGAATGTGGTTTGTCACAGCTATCACCCTCAGCCACTTAGTGACAGTCATTGACTTCTGGAGTTGTTGGTTGGAGGTCAAACAGAAACAAATCTGTCAAACAGAAGCTTCATTGCTGAGGGAGGTTACATGGCATGGGGTGCTGTTTGTGTTATCCTCTGTCTCTTTTCAGGAAAGGAAGCAAAAAATAAACTGCCAAGACAGAAAGTTTCAAGAAGAGGTGAAGAGGATCACAGCAAACACAGCAATTCAGGTAGGTACAGAAAATTTGAGAGCTGAGAGGTCTGAGATGAAATGTGGGGCATCATCAATGCCCAAACACCTCAGAAACCTTAAATGAGGATCCCAAATCATGAGTAAAGGAGGAGGGAGGAAATTCAAGCCCAAACTCCAAGCTTCATGGCTTGTGAGTCTTGGTGGACAAGATGCCCAAGGTCCCTGCAGTGGCAAGCCCAGGTCCCCACACGGAGCAATGCTGAGCTGCTCCACCTCAGATGTGCCTGCCAGGCTGTTCACTCCATGCCTAAGGCCTGGAGGCTTAAATCTCCTTTCCTTCTCTCTCCAAGTGTCAGGGAGGCAAAGTAGGAAGGGGTGTGGGACTATCCCAGCAGTGAGTGCAGCAGATGGAGCAAACTGCATGGCAACTGCTGTTGCCCACATGGAGAGGCCGGAGGGAGCGCGGGCGCCATGGCCCATCAGAAGGGAGCTGCTCCAGACCCATATATCACAGGGCCTTTCAGAGATTTGTGCCCATTACATTTTGCTGAGCTCAGGCAGAAGGATGCAGGGGATTTGGAGACTGTTTATTTTTGTCATGAGGAAACAGGAAATAGTACACAAGGCTATAAATATATCCCGGGCTTCAGATGACATCATGAACTCGTGCAAGTGCTTCACTACTGATTTACGATGATGGACTGGTAATTCACAGGAGCTTTGGGTTTACTTTATTTTGCTGTTGCAGTAACAAAGCTAATGGTGCAATCCCGGGAGGGGGTGTTTTATCAATAGTGAATTTTTGACCTCATTGCATACATTGTAACTTCATGAATTAGTGACCCAGCTAACTGTAAAGCCTTCTATAGGCTTATTGTAGATCTATCACAGGACTGGCAAAAACTTTTGGCCCAGATCCTAAGCTCTGACAGGCATGTGTTGATGGACTGCATAGCAAGCACTTCCACTAATATTTCTCACTAATTATGCCATATATTAAGAAAAAATGAATGAAGCCAATGTTTATATGCCGCTTTAACTGCTTTTCATATAAGAAAGCAACACAATCCCTAATAAATTTTCACCTTCAACATTTCTATTCATTATAATTTTTACCATGATGAATGAAGTTAGAACTGGAGAGGGAGGGGGTTCATCTTGAAATCTGTTCAGTGAATGACTGAATTTACTTCCCTTCCCCAACTTGTGTCGAGGAAGGAGGGAACAGATGGACACAGGAAGAAGAGGGAGGCGAGTGCGGAACGAAGGAGATGGGTGAGGAACAGATGGAGTCAGGAGAAAGTGAAGAGGAGAGTCAGCAAGGATGGTAGAAAAGTTTTCCACTTGACCTTGAGTTGAAATGAAGATCTGCATGCAGCATGGGGCAGCTTTTTGGGTTGCATCCTTTTTTCTCTCCATGGCACTTAGCTATAAGGTCTTTTGGGCCATCCCAGCAGCTCAGTGCATCCCAGGGGACCTGCAGAGCCAGGAGCTGGACTTTCCCTAGGGGTCACCTGCTGCACAAGGGCACCTGCACTGTGTACAAGTCCTGTAATGGTAATGGCAGGGGAGGACTGTGTGCCAGCACAGGAACAAAAATGGGTTGGGATGTTGTAATTCTCCCAGGCATCCTAGCCAAGCCAGAAATTGGAGTTTATAATTTTGAAGAAGTGTACTACACCCAGTTTGTTAGGATCCAATAGCCAAAATATTCAGAGTAATTTATGGTTTTACCTGCTTGAAGCAAGACATTTGAGATGGCCTGATTTTCAGAATATGCTGAGCATCTGTGTTTTGATGTGTAGTGAATTATATATCCCAAATCACTAGTAAGTCCTGGAAAATCTTGATTGTATTCTTAATTCGGTTAAATTGCCTGCATATACTCCACTGGTTCTGGCTTTGCTAGCTAAAGAATGGAAGAGGTGAAAGCTAAATATTGGCCATGTGTGTCATTCCCTTTGAAGAAAATGGGAGCCATGTGCACTCACCTAACAGCAATGTTTGGCCCCAACTATGATTTCACAGCTGGGCCCTAACTTCAGGAATGCCAAAGCACTAAATGACTCAATTGGAGTAATCTGATCAATGCTGTATTTTCGCTGTGGATTTAAATTGCACACACAGCAAGAGCAGAGTTGGTTTTCTTCTCTCTCAAAATCACTTTTCTCTGCAGACTTGATAGCATAAATATGAAGTATTGCTCTCATCACAGAAATAAGTGAAATGGCAGAAAACGTATGTCAAATAAAATGCACAACATTACGTCCTTTTTACTTTTTGGAGGCTGTTTAAGAAAACGGCTTCATTAATTTTGACTGAATAAAAGGTTCCTTTAAGGGATTTCAATAGGTGACATGAAAAATGTTAATACGAATGATCAAGACAATGGAGGTTAAAACTGTTTTGAAAATATGTTTCTTTTATAGATCTTGGCTGTTGGAAGAGTTACAGAATAAATATACGGTAGTGCTGACATTCAGTGCTGTTTCATCTTAGCAAAGAGTTTTTAATAAAGAAAATTCTTTTCAAGGAATGCTTTCTGCAGCCAGTCTTCAAAAAGAGGTTTTCCCCCCCTCCCAGTTTAATAAAATTAAAGTAATTTATGTCATATTGATATGTCGATATGTTTTTCAATAAACTTTTTCACAGAGATTTTTTTAAAATTCTCTTCACTTTAAAAATTATAATTATATGTCTTCCTCCCACTTTGAAAATGGCACAAGGTGCTCATTTGCAGAGCTCTACTGTTCAAATCTTCACTGAGAATAGAAATGTCATGACTCAGTTAACAATGCTTTATTATTCACATTGATCTTTTTTTATAGTGTTCTTTATCTCAAAAACATTGTAAATCAGATATCTTCCTCCCACTCTTTTGTTCATTTGCAAATTTTTATTATTCTAGTTTAAAAAAGCAATGGAGTGTCAAGAGTCAGTGTATATTGTTTATGTTCTTTTTTGCTTTAAAATTACTTTTAACTATAAAAAGTAAGATGTATAGCAGGAAAAAAAAATCTGCATTTAAAGATGCTTAAAAAAGAATTGAAGGGATCAGTGTGAATTTTATGCTGTTCTCTTACACCTTGGAGTTGTAGCGACTTTGCAAGAAGGGGCACTGAGCAATTTATGAACAGGTTTTTATGTGCTGAGTCCAAAGTCCTTGTTGCATCAGACACCATCATCTGTGTTAAAGGCTGGACATAATTCATGCCCTAAGTGACCACAGCAGCAAAATTCCCCGTGTGTTCACTGGCTGGTCTGCAGGGCCTGCCCAGAGCCCTTCCTGTCCATCGCTCCCTGTCGCAGCCTGGTGCGAGGTCCTCAGGAGCCCTCAGGTGAGGAGCACCAAGATAAATCACTGACTTGTCACAGGAACCTCACAGCTTTGGAATCAGTGCTAACTGCAGCAGAAACACAACATTAATGGATCAACAGGCAAGGCAACCCCTGAAACCCATGGGGCTGGATGTGGGATACAGCTGAGCACCTTTCAGGAGAGCCTTATCAGAGCCCTCAGGACTTGTTTGTAGATCAGCTCTCCCAAATTCCCCTTCAGCCACTGTTTTCTTCCCCTGTCATGTTGTTCTTTAGGTCCATATTTCTGTCCTGGCAGTTGTGACTTTTTGAATGGCTTCCGTGAGATAAATCTATTACAGGAATTGGGGATAGTCCAGGGAGCAGCAGGATCTCGTGGTATTTCACATGCTTCTTGCTGTTAGGTAATTTTTTTATCATCTTTTCCCTGTTTTGAATTTTATGATCAGAGCATCCTGGCACCCTGTTGTTATTCCAGCAGATCTTGAAAGAGATCATCCTCTCTGGGAGTCACTGAGATGGAGTGGCTATACCTGAAGTTGTATTTAAGCCCCAGACTGGATTTTTTTTGGGGTCTTATTGAATTATAGAGTGGTTTGGGTCAGAAGGGACTGAAAGACCATCTAATTCCAAGATCTAATTCCAAGCACCCACCATGAACAGGGACACTTTCCACTAGACCGGGTTGCTCCAAGCCCTGTGGAAAGTGGCCTTGAACACTCCAGGGATGGAGAGGACCTTGTAGGTATGTGGTGGCCCTATTACATGAAACAGCCCTAAAAATTGTTGTAAATGAAGCTTAAGTCTGGTTTTTAAATTCTTTTATTTATTTCCTTTTGTTTGAAACTGCACTCTGCTGACACTTGCTAAAAGGGATAATTAAAAAACTCAGAACAAGTAACTCACAAACTGAACCTGAACTGAAAACACACAGCCCTGTCCTCCCCCCTCCAAGTGGAGGGCTTAGCAATGATTGTTTTTATTAATGCCAGTAGGTCACCCCAGTCACCATATGTCTGTGCCAGTCCCTGTCCTCTTTCCCAGGCCGGGATTTGGGATGCACAGCATCACACAGAGCCCCTGAGGCCACCCTCTGATGGGGCTGCCTGCACACCCCCAATGGACATCTTGTTGTTTTGCAGAGCTAACTCAAACCTCTCAAATTCTCTTTATTCCTCACTGCACAGAGTGAAACTGGAAGGTTTGATGTATTGTCTCATTTGAATTGACCTTAATGTTTTCAAAGCAGAGAAAAAACAAATTTTACAATTGTTATTGTTGTTGTTGCCTTGATGTCACTGCTGCATTAATTCACTCTTCCTTCCTCTCATGGTTAATGACTCACCCCACAATGAGGTTAAGGCCAATATGACCAAATTTCAGAAACAAAATCCTAACCTGAGCTGAGTAGCCAGAAGTGG